TATATATATATATATAAAAGCGTGTGGGCTTTTAAATAGTCAAAATCTTTCCGCGTTATTCGGAATGGTTTGAATTTTTGGTAAGTTACTCCTAAAACTTTTTTGCTTTATTATTTTGATATTACAAAAGAATTTTTATCTAAGCTAGACACATAATTCTTTAAATAATAATTTTAACTTTTTTCATCTGAATTTTTATGCTTATTTGAGATTTTTGCATTCTTTACTCTCTCTCTCTCTCTTTTTTTTTTTTAATCACATTACTTATTAAATTTAACATCTTCTCTCTTTATACATCTGTTACCTTGACTGAGCAATGTTTTTAATTTCCTAAATAACTTACCAAGTAAATATCTAATACCCAGCTTAATTAATTTAATCCTTTAAAAATATAGTCACTAAATAATCTTCAAAATTTCAAACGTGAGATATTTCGATTCTTCATTTTAAGGGAATCGCCAACCAATACCATAAGAAGAAATCAGTTTAAATAAGAAATTAAAATGGAGAATTTTTTTGATTGAGAATTACATTATATTAAAAATATGTTACGTAAGTTCTAAGTTTTCACTTATTAAATTTTCAAATTTATACATTTTATGCCTTACTTTTTAAATTTGAACATTTTATTACTTTATTAAGTGATCATCTAAGACATTAATCATTAACTGAAATTGGCGGTGTTACATATAAAACATTGATGTGACATAATCTGTTCGTAGAACCAATATCCTACGCTAAATTTTTACCAAAAAAAAGAAAAATTCTACAGGTTCCGAAATATGTTTCAAAACATATTTCCAAATTTTAAAAAAAATAATTTAAATTATAAAATATTAAATTAAATAATTATTTTATAATAAATTTATTAAAAAATAAAAATATTTTATATATTCGGACGCTGATTCGGAACTTTCTTTCGGTCGATTAAGCAATTCTCCCAAAAAAATATATACTATGTTAGATAGAGACCAAATAATGACACAGATAGGTTAAATTGTGTAGTAAAATGTACAAAATTTTAAAAATGTGTGTAAATTAAAAACTAAGAGATAAAATTTACAAATCATAAAATGTCACTGAAAAACAATAATAATTAAATTTAGAGTGTTTCACGTTCGTAAATATGAGTCTGTTTGATGAGTTTTTAGAAATTAAATTGAGTTGAATAATTGTTGTAACAATCAATCTGAATGATCAGAGTTATTTGACACCCGTGCGTGTCCACTTACATGAGTAATGTATCATGTTTACGTGAAACAAACATCTTCGTAACAAGATAAGGATGACATTTATTGAATGCATTGTAACATGTGATATGAGTTTTGGATGTCTCTCTGATTGGACGGATCCGGCTTTGAAGTGAACGTGCCTTTCACTGTATGCAAATACACTTTTGTTGTATCGATGCACAATGCTTATACACGGTGGCACATGGTGCCCAATAGTAGGGATTAAAAAAAAAAAAAACTTGTACATATGCATGTATAGTAGATAAAAATCGTTATAAATTTTAAATGAATAATTAAATGAACATTTGATTAATAATGAAATGAAGACGACAAATAAGATATGTATTTGTAAATATTTGCATTTTAAAAATGTTAAAAATACTCTTGATTATATATAAATTAGTTTGATTAATTAATTTATTTTTATATTAAATATATATCATAATTATTTATTTTCAGTGCAAATATATGTTATAAGGTTATTTTTTTAATATAAATATATGATTTCAAATTATTCATATTTTTTTTAATTTTATTTCTCATATTTTTATTTATATTTTTATATTTATATCCTACGCTAAATTTTTACCAAAAAAAAGAAAAATTCTACAGGTTCCGAAATATGTTTCAAAACATATTTCCAAATTTTAAAAAAAATAATTTAAATTATAAAATATTAAATTAAATAATTATTTTATAATAAATTTATTAAAAAATAAAAATATTTTATATATTCGGACGCTGATTCGGAACTTTCTTTCGGTCGATTAAGCAATTCTCCCAAAAAAATATATACTATGTTAGATAGAGACCAAATAATGACACAGATAGGTTAAATTGTGTAGTAAAATGTACAAAATTTTAAAAATGTGTGTAAATTAAAAACTAAGAGATAAAATTTACAAATCATAAAATGTCACTGAAAAACAATAATAATTAAATTTAGAGTGTTTCACGTTCGTAAATATGAGTCTGTTTGATGAGTTTTTAGAAATTAAATTGAGTTGAATAATTGTTGTAACAATCAATCTGAATGATCAGAGTTATTTGACACCCGTGCGTGTCCACTTACATGAGTAATGTATCATGTTTACGTGAAACAAACATCTTCGTAACAAGATAAGGATGACATTTATTGAATGCATTGTAACATGTGATATGAGTTTTGGATGTCTCTCTGATTGGACGGATCCGGCTTTGAAGTGAACGTGCCTTTCACTGTATGCAAATACACTTTTGTTGTATCGATGCACAATGCTTATACACGGTGGCACATGGTGCCCAATAGTAGGGATTAAAAAAAAAAAAAACTTGTACATATGCATG